AATGGATTTTCATACTTACATATCACTATATCCTTAAAAGATTCTTTGTGTGTGTGTGTGTGTGTGTGTGTGTGTGTGTGTGTGTGTGTGTGTGTGTATACATAAACTCACAGGTATGAATGCACCTACATAGGTATTTATGTAGACTCGAAGAAGGTGTCAAATCCCCTGGAGCCAGAGTTACAGGTGAACTGCCCAACATGGTGCTGGGAACCAAAGTCAGCTCCTGGGAAAGAGCAACAAGTACTCTGAACCCTGTCTCCAGCCCCTTCCCTAAGAATTGTGAGCTTTGAATGAAATTGTGCATCTGCTATGTAGCAGATGGTAAATATAGAAAATGTGTTCTTATTATTTGTATGCTAATTATTTAAATGAGTAATTTTGGTATTATTTATACCAAAACATTCTAAGATGTTTTCTCATTAGTATTAGTTACTTTTTTATTACTGAGATAAAAACACCACAATCGAGGCAACTTGTAGAGAGAGTTTATTTTGGACTTATAGTTCCAAAATAAAGTCCAAGATTGTATAGCAGAGGTGGCAGGTGGCTAGAGCCGTTCATATCTCAAACCTCCAATAGAAGGCGGAGATAACTCTAAATGTCACCAGTCTTTTGAAGCCTCACCCCAGTGACATACTTCCTCTATCCAGGCCACACCCCCTTGGCCCTCCCCATTCTTCCAGCATATGGGCCCCAGGGATCAGCCCTTAGGTTTGACAACTACTACCTTTTAACACCCTATCCTACTGGCCCCAAAACTTATTTTAAAAGATTTACATTTGTTTATTGTATGAGTGTATTCTCACAAGTGTGTGAATATATGCCATGGGTATGTGGGTGCCTGAGGAAGCCAGAAGAGGGTGTTGGACCCCCTGTAGCTGGAGTTAGAGGTAGTTATGAGTCACCCAGTGTAGGTGCTGGGAACCAGACTTGGGTACACTGGAAGAACAGCAAGTGTTCTTAACCACAGAACCATCTCTCCAGCCCCAAAACTTTACTTACAAAGTTATTTACTGGTTTTGTTTGTTTGTTTTGTTTGTGACATGTACCTCTGGCTGGCTTGCTTAGAATTACCTATGTGGAACAGGTTGGCATTGAACTCACAGATATCTGCTTGCCTGTGCCTCCTGAGTGCTAGGATTAAAGGTATACATTAGTAGGCCTCACCTAAAGTTATCTATTGTTATTGCATATGTATATATTAAGTGTGAGTGCCGGTGCACAAGTGCCATATCATGTGTGCACAAGTCAGAGGAGAGCTTTTGGGGGTTGGTTTTCTCTGTCCACTGTGGTCTGTGGGGGAGTATTCAAAGCAAGCACTTTTACTTACTGTCTTAGAGTTTCTGTTGCTGTAAAGAAACACCGTAACCATGGCAACTCTTATAAAGGAAAACATTTCATTGGGGCTGGCTTATAGTTCAGAGGTTGTTTAGTTCATTATCATCATGATGGGAAACATGCAGAATGTAGGCAGCATGGTGCTGGAGAGGTAGCTAAGAGTTCTGTATCTGGATCCCCAGGCAGCAGGAAGTGATAGCCACATTGGGCGTGGCTTAAGCTTCTGAGACCTTAAAGCCCATCCCCTAGTGCCGCACTTCTTCCAACAAGCCACACCTACTCCAACAAGGCCACACATTCTAATAGTGCCACTCCCTTTGGACCTATGGGGGCCATTTTTATTCAAATTACCACATTCTGCTCCCTACCCTCATAGGCTTGTAGCCATAACACGATGCAGAAATGCATTTAGTCCAACTTCAAAAGTACGTCCCCATAGTCCATCACAGTCTTAAACTTGTTTAAAATTCCAAAGTTCAAAGACTCTTCTGAGATTCATACAGTCTTTTAACTGTAATCCCCTATAAAATAAAATTAAAAAATCACATAATTCCAACACATAAAGATGCAGGATATATATTACTATTCCAAAAAGGGGTATAGTGAGGTAATACTGGATCAAAGCAAGACTGAAAACCAGCTGCACAAACTCCAAACTCTGCATCTCCATGTCTAATGTCAAAGTGCTTTTCAGATCTCCAACTCCTTTTTAAAATTTTGCTTGTCTCCTTAAACACAGGATTTAACTTCATTCCACTTCCTAGTGTCCCTTTTCTCAAATTGTACATTTTGTAGTTTTCCTTTCTCAGCCTGCTCCTTTTCCTTATAGATCAACATAAGAGTTAAAACTAATAATAACCACATGACAGAGTCCATACAAGGCTGGTTTGAAATATTTCCTGCAAACAAAATTAATCCAAAACTCTTTAGCCCCAGGCAGATTCTTTGGACAAGGGCAGAAAGCAGCCATACCCTTCAGCAAAATATCATAAGAATAGTCTCTAGGCCACATACTAACATTCCCCTCTGAAACTTCTTGAACCAGGCCACCACAGTTCAAATCACCCTTAGCACCATGTTACCACTAGGATGGTCCATTAAGCCCCATTTCAAACATTCAATTGCTTTTCTAATCCAAAGTTTCAAAGTCCACATTCTTCCAAGCAAAAGCATGGTCACACCTATCACAGTAATACTCCAGTCTCTGGTACCATCTTCTCTTTAGCTAGGGTTTTGTTACTGCAAAGAAACACCATGATCATGGCAACTCTTATAAAAGAAAACATGTTATTGGGGTTGGTTTATAGTTCAGAGGTTTAGTCTATTATCATCATGGAAGGAAGCATGGTGGTATTCAGGTAGACATGGTGCTGGAGAGATAGCTGAGAGTTCTATATTAAGATCCCCGGACAACATGAAGAGACAGCCACACTGGGCATGGCTTAGCATCTGAAACCTCAAAGCCCACCCTCTAGTGATGCACTTCCTCTAGCAATCCACACCTACACCAACAAGGCCACACCTCCTAATAGTGCCACTTCCTATGAACTTATGGGAACCATTTTTATTCAAACCACCACACCTGCTGAGCCATCTCGATAATCACAAACTTTTCTTTAAAAAATTTTCTTAGAGCCGGGCGGTGGTAGTCCCAGCACTTGGAAGGCAGAGGCAGGTGGATCTCTGTGAGTTCGAGACCATCGTGGTCTACAAGAGTGAGTTCCAGGACAGCCTCCTAAACCACAGAGAAACCCTGTCTTGAAAAACCAAAAAAAAAAAAAAAAAAAAAAAAAAAAAATTCTTAGATTTATTTATTCTGTGTATGTAAATGCTTTGCCTACTTGTGCATATGTACATCCTGTACATGCCCGTGCCTGAGGAGGCCAGAAGAAGATATGGAATCCCCCAAAATTGGAGCCAAAATCCTCTAGAACTGGAGCCACTATGTGGGTGCTGGGAATTGAAATTAGGTCCTAGCAAGATCAATAAGGGCTCTAAACCACTGAGCCATCTCACCAGCTCCCTCAAACTTATTTTCAGTGTATTTGGGACTGAGTCATTCATTCTGCAGATATTTACTGAGGAATTACTACTTGGTTCATTCTCTTCTAAGTGCTGGGGATGTAGTAGTGAAGAAGTTTATATTCCAGTAGAGGCAAACAATATGTCAACAAATGTAGCATTTGAATGAAGACTCTGTGCTGAGATGCCCACACCCACTCTGTGGTGTACTTACTCCCCCTACCTGGAGAGATGGCTCAAGGGTTAAAAGCACTTGCTCTGACAGTGGACCTGGGTCTGTTCCCAGCACAGGTGGGGCAGCTCACAACCACTTACTATAACTCCAATTCTAGGGAATAGATGCTTCCTTTTGTCCACCCTTAGGCACACCAGGTCTCTCTCTCCCTCCCTCCCTCCCTCCGAAGCTTTTTAAAAACCCAAATAAAATCCAGGCTTATTTACAAATAAATATGAGATGGTGTGAGAGGTAACGGTGGCCCAAGTCAGGTCAGTGTGCTAATAGTAAAGTAAGTGGTGGTCAGAATTAGAAATGTGTTTTCTAATTTTCTTGAGGTGGAGCCACCAGCAAGGAATTACCATTGTGTTGTAATGGGAATAACTCTGGTCCTAGCGTGTAGAGCCTCCTGTAGTACCCATTAAAACAGGAACAGTGAAGAAGAGGAATTGGAATCACTTGGAAGGTTCTATGAATAATGTGGGTCACCAACTCCATCAGCCACATAACGTTGTTCACACTCCTTGGCTTATATGTCAGCCCTCTAAATAAAAATTCCATTGTATGAGTTAGCATTTTAAAATTCTTTCATTTAACAAAACCTTAGAACATTCCCATGAGAAGCGCCCAGGCCAGGAAAGTATTAAATGTATACTTCAAAGCATCTTTCATTTTTCTTACTCTGCAGTCATGTCCCATAACTGTGAAGTTTATGTTGTGTATTACAAGCACTTATTAAGACTTTTTCAAGTTTCTTTGCTATTTTGGGAGCCATTTTCAGTTATTCATACGGCAGTTTCCTCATCTGGAGAGAGATAAAAGGCTGAAATCCCGTGTGTGCTTCTTTGAAGATTTACTATTCAAGTAACCATCATCGAGATGGGAAAAGCTTGAGAAGCATAAACCAGTTTACCACTTGCTTTATGTTTGTTTGCTTTTTCCTCCAATGATTTGGTTGTTTTCATTTGCTAGAAAACATTTTTAGCTAAATTCAATGAGGTATTTTCTGCAAATTTTATTCTTGTATACTTTATCAAAAATGGTAACAGGCAGGACTTGGGAGTCTGAAGCAGGTAGATCTGTGAGTTCAAGGCCAGTCTGCTCTACATAACAGGTGCCAGGCCAGGTGGGCTACATAGTGAGACCTGCCTCAAAGTAATCCAGGGGCTTTACAGGTTAAATAATATATACTGGCATTTCCACATAAATACACTTAATAGAAAAATTTTTAAAAGGAAGGAAAAACATGCTTAGTGGTTTAACATTCAGCTGCTTCCCAAGCTTCTCTGAAACATAGTTCAGCATCTCACGTGACAATGTAGGGTAGCACTCAGAGGTCCAGCTTGCTTTCAGGTCTCCTGGCATTTCATGCTACCTCCCTTTCACCTCATCCATGGTTTTCTTTTTCTCTGGCTATCTCCAGCAAGAAAGACCCCAGTGAATAAAGGTTCCTGAGATCACGGAAAAGATATATAATGTGCTGTAAAGAATAATTCAAGGCCCGGGATGGTGGTGGCACACTCCTTTATTCCCAGCACTTGGGAGGCAGTTCAAGGACAGCCTGGTCAACAAGGTGAGTTTCAGGACAGCCAGAATCTGTCTCGAAAAACAAAACAAAATACAGAAACAGACAGGAAAAAAAAAACAAAAAACAAAGAAGAGTTCACATTTTAGAGGTGGCTGAAGTGAGGGAACGTGCACAGAGGGCACACAGGCTTGATTGATCCTGGGCTAAGTAAGGCTTCACAGAAACTTTCCAGCTGCTCTTGAGTATGCATACACATGTTACTTTGAAAAATTGAAGTGCTGTTACTGTCGTTCAGGGGTACAGCGTTTGCATAGCTTTCGAAAAGTCCTAGGTTCAATCCCTACTGTAGCAAATGTAAAAAAGGTAGATTTTTACAAAGAAATTCATAGGCTCTGTTATTTATTGAGCAGTTGTTTAATATCCTAGGCACGTCACAGTATTTATACCTCTTAAACTCACACATTATATGAGTTTGAACAATCTGTCTTTTGTGGAAAGGATGCTGATCTCTTTGTGCCTGTTGCCCTTCTGCAAGTGGTTTCCAGCAGTATCTAGCATTGCTGTTAAACAATTAGATGCAGGCTGGGAAAGGCACTCAGTGGTAGATTGCTTGTCCATTAAGAAAGTAAAAACAGTTAATATTGCTAGAGCAGAACAGTGCATAGCTGGTATTGAATGCTCAGTCTTGATGCTGCATCATTGTGAGCAGCCTCTAGATGAGGCCAGAGCTGTAACTCTGTACTAGCAGTAGCTGCAGATTACTTGGTGTAACACAAATGGCAGGAGGCAGAGTTAGAAGCCAAAAGTCTTTGTTGTGTTACAGAATATGAACTTGAGCTTATCTGTGCCACATCAGGAAATACAGTGAGTGCAATATGAGTGCATTGAGATCATTTCTTTTTTCTTTCTTCTAATTCTTCTTCTTTTCTTCTCTCTCTCTCTCTCTCTCTCTCTCTCTCTCTCTCTTTTGGTTTTTCGAGACAGGGTTTTTCTGTGACTTTGGAGGTTGATCTAGGACTAGCTCTTGTAGACCAGGCTGGTCTCGAACTCACAGAGAACCACCTTCCTCTGCCTCTGGAATGCTGGGATTAAAGGCGTACGCTACTACTGCCCGGCAGAAGTCATTTCTATACTGTGCTAGTTGGGGGATGAGGACAAAAGCCATCTGTCCATATTTAGGACAGACACATTTTCCCCCTAAGTGTTTTCAGTCCACAATCCACAGTTGGTTAAGTCCAGAGATGTAAAACCCACGGTCACAGAAAGGCAACTTAAAGATCAGTGGGTTAATATTGATAGAGTACACTGTGCCTGTCTCATATTAATTGAGGGAATTAAGTTCACTAACTTAATTTATTTCTTATACTGGAGATGATTGGGAGGTATTAATTCAATTTTGATAGCAGAACCTTGGTTCACTTCTTAAAACATCTGCTGCTCCTTCAGAGTGTTGTAGACTGTGGAGCACCCCTTAGACCAGTGCTTTTCAACCTTACTAATGCTACCTATGACCTTTTAGGACAGTTCTTCATGCTTTGGTGACCCCCCACCATAAAATTACTTTGTTGCTATTTCATAACTGCAATTTTGCTACTGTTATGAAAATAATGTAGATGATCTTAGGTGACCCCTGTGAAAAGGTCATTCACTCCCTAAGGGGTTGTGACCCATAGGTTGAGAATAGCTACTTTTAGAGTCTGTGGCTTGATAGGATCTGAGCCTTAGCAGCCTGGCAACATTAATTGAGTGGGATGAGACAGAGCAGGTGGGCCATATAGAGCTGGAGAGAAGTAGGATAAGGGCATACCTTACTGTCATCATTATAAGAGAAAAGAAGAGTGAGATACGGCCCTCACACATGTGGTTTGTCTCCTTCATTGATGAAGTGAGTGGTGGATTCTATTCCCCGAGAAAAAGATGCTTATACATTCGGATAAGCATCTTGTCTCTCCACTCTTAAAAAGAAAAAGATATTTTTATTTATTTTTCTTCTGAGACAGGGTTTCTCTGTATAATAACCCTGCTGTCCTGGAACGTGTTTTTTTAGACCAGGCTGGCCTCGAACTCAGAGATCTGACTGACTCCCAAGTGCTAGGATTAAAAGTGTCACCACACCCAGCTTATTTATTATTTTTTAATGTTCCTTTTAAAAATATTTATTTTTACTTTATGTGTATGGGTGTTTTTCTGCCTGCATGTATGTGTATAAGCAGCGTCCACGGAAGTTAGAAGAGAATGCTAGATACCCTGAAACTCCCACCATGTGGGTGCTGAGAATTGAACCCAGCTTTTCTCCCAGAGCAACAAGTAATCTTAACTGCTGAGCCATCTCATAGCTCCAAAAGAGATCTCAAAGATCTTTATGGGTCAAGCCTACTGCAAGCCTATGATCTACACACACACACACACACACACACACACAGCGGGGTGGGGGGGATGAATGAAGGAATGATAATCTTAAAAACTAAGGGGAGCTGGACAGTGGTGGGTCATGTCTTTAACCCCAGCACTCAGAAGGCAGAATCGGGTGGATCTCTATGAGTTCGAGGCCACCCTGGTCTACAGAATGAGTTCCAGGATAGCCAGGGCTACACAGAGAAACTTTGTCTCAAAAACAAAACAAAACAAAAACAAACAAAGACCAAACAGCAACAAAACTTAGGAGGGGCTGGAGCAATAGCTCAGTGATTAGAGAGCACTGACTGATCTTGCAGTGGACCTAGGTTCGATTCCTAGCATTTCCATGGTGACTCACAATTGCCTGTGGCTCTAGTTCCAGGGGAATCTGCCACCCTCTTCTGACCTCTGTGGGAAGCAGAAATGTGGTGCACCGACATACAGACAAAATACCCCCACACAAAAAAGTTAAGGAAAAAATATCACTTTAGAATTGTATACCCAGCAAAATTGTTCCCCCCTGTAGGTTCCTACTTCTGTGCTGTTACAACAGTGTAGGATGCTGAATAGGAAAAGCAAGCGGAGTTGCCACATTCATATTTGAACCCAGTGCCACCAGCTCTAGGGTCCCTTGCTCTTCATTCTGAGAAAGCCATTTATCCATCTCCATTGCAGTGAAAAATGTGGCAGGGAGAGATTAAGGTACACCTTATGACCAGGGAAGTATAGAGTATAGCTGTATTTGTTAAAGTGCCACACACAGGAGACATAGGATACATACTGTCTCTCTTTACTATGCCACGATGATTTTTAAAAATAATTAATGGAGGGCTGCTTCTTTTTTTCCCCTAGAGATTCTTATCTCTTATCTTTTTCCTGAAATGCCATCCTCAGGATGCCAACAACAATCCTTTTTCCATTTGGCCGTGTTCCTTCTGGTAGCTAAGTAATTGGCAGCTGTTTTCTTCAGATAAACGGTTACTTTGGCTCTGAACATGAAACAAGTGTTATTAAAAGAGCCGTCTACACCCAATTCCCCACTTTTCCCACGACCAAAGAAGAACAAGAGCTTAGGTACCCATGGTGGATGGTATGTTCTTCTGGAGGAGTAGCCCCATGCTAGAACTTACACTTACGCCTAAGGCCATGGGTTCCACGTCAACTGTGTAGAGGAGGAGTCATCCAAGTGTCTCTGTTCCTTGAAAGATTATCCTGGTTCTGCAGAATTTTGAGTTTAAAGAGTGCTGTTGTTTAGAACAATTAACACACCTTGTCTAGCACGGAGTCACTTCTTTCCAAGAGTCTGAATTTATTACAGATATGAAGGCTTCTTTATATCCACAATTTCCTTTGCTCTCCAAGCAATGAGACTGTGAAAATTAAGGTTATGAAGGTTTTACCAGAAATCATCAGATGGTCTCCAGGGTAGTCAGGTGGTCTCCAGGGTAGTCAGGTGGTCTCCAGGGTAGTCAGGTGTTTAAGAGGGTTTTGTGTGTGTGTGTGTGTGTGTGAGAGAGAGAGAGAGAGAGAGAGAGAGAGAGAGAGA